GTATGTCATCCCAGTGTTTATGATTTGTTCTAAAATTTAATAATTTTGAATAAAACAATTCAATATCACTAACAAGTTGTGGATCATTCAGATGGTTTGTCGGATAGACGTATTTGAGACCACGAGAGAGTGCAGTCAATTGGTCTTGAGTCTGCATCTGCCCCTTACAAGAAATAATACAAATTGTGTTATTGATCCTTTATCTGTATGTCAAGACTGTAATGAGTTAGCTACATCAAACGTGCTCATGTTTGGTGATTCTGGATTCTTGGGAAATCGATATAATCAACAGATACATCACTATGCGCAGTTTCAATTCAGTGTTGCGTCAAAAAAGGCAGCGTTGGTAAATGTTGAATTAGGTGTTGGCACTGCAGTTCCCACAGTTAGGCTGGAGAGCGAAGAAACATTCATGGATAAACGCTTGCAAGCTCATTTAATCCGTATTAATCCATTAGCTGAGAATTCAGTTATTCCTGCACACTGCAAACGTGGAAATAAAGGAGAAGCTGTCGAACTATCGCTAGATGCATTGACAGTATTGACGTTGATTGATGAAGCAGTGGAAAAGAGATCAAAAAAATAACAACATACAAAACACTTTCACTTTTGTACGATCATATTTCGTATAACATTCAAGTGATCGCTTCTCTTTCATTTCCTTATATTATTTTATGCAATCGTGAATATGATACATTATGTGTTGCGAACATAATAAGTATATTCTGTTTTTGATAGTGTTTTAATTAAGGGTACTTCTTCTTAGAAACTGGGGAAGGCTATATTCGATCGGGTTGGAACTTATACTAGAGACAACCTCGAAAAAGAAAATCGAAGTATTTTTGCCTAGAATTTTCTAACATGTTTTACTGTGCGTTTTCTGGAAAATTTCAGTTTGCATTCAGTCACATTACGATTGCTCGAAAAAATGTTCCGATCGAGGAGAAACTTTCACCATAAATACTTCAGACCCTATCTCAGGCTCTAAATTTCTCCTTCGAAAAATATGCTTTCCTTCTCGAATTTCCTTCTTCGAATCAAATATTCAAAAAATACTAAAAATCCTATATAAAAAAGATCACTTTTTTATTTCAAAAACCTTCTGACGTCGAAGTTAAAATCGAAAATGCTTAAAAAGAATTTATAACCAGAGGTAGGGTCTAAAGTATCTGTAATAAAAGTTTCAGCTCAATTATTCAGTACTAGGGATGCACCAAGCCCGAATATTTGTGTTTGGTGGGTTTGGGTTTGTTGAAGATTTCGGATTTGGGGCTTGCAATCCCAAATACTTTGGGTTTGGTTTGGTCACCAAACCCAACGAAAGTATTATCGTTAGTAAACTGCTAGACATATGCCCATAATAAATTTTGAACTTTTCGACTGAGATTTTTGCGGAAAAATGAAAGTTGTCCAGAAGTCCTGAAACACATATCAATCAATTCAGTTTTTTATGCTGATTCCAAATATGACGTTGGTTTTGCAGAAAAATGCAAGTTTAACAATGAAGACTGCGAAATTTCTTGTTTTTTGCTACCTGTTTCAAATAAATTAATTTTCTCAACAACGGAACAATATTTTCCAAAATCAATACGTAAATTTTTTCGTGCTATTATGGCGAGTAGAATGATATAAAACTATTGGCTTCATCTCCTATGTAGAGAGACTTGCAGCTTTTAAAATTTTAAAAAACGACTTATTTTTAAAAACTAACATAAAATTCAAACACGTGTCCAAACGTGTGTTTGGAATCTTGGAAGTATTCCGTTCTTGTTCTCCGTGAAAAACTGAATCTGAAAATAGTGTTTCGATACTATTTAAGTATGATATGACCTAACAACGTTTTAGTTGTTCACTAATAGCTAACATCCCGTTCATGTTAGCGCAAAAAACTTCAAGTCTCTCTAGATAGAAGGTGAAGCCAATATTTTTATATCATTCTACTCGCCATAATAGCACGAAAGAAGTTGCATATTAGTTTTGGCAAATATTGTTCCGTTGTTGAGAAAATTAATTTATTTGAAACAGGTAGCAAAAAACAAGGAATTTCGCAGTCTTCATTGTTAAACTTGCATTTTTC